AAATTCATGTGACACGAATTAGAAATTTTTTATTTAATATAGAAAATAATTTGAAAGGACATGTCACACGACTGATATAGTACTGATCTGCCCGTCTCTAACGATGCATCATACAAAATTTCCAGAGCAATTATTATCTGCCCACATTTAATGACCTTGTGGAAAAGAATTGGTTATAATTTAATAAGTTTCGGTTTAATGATTTGGTGTTACGAGGGAGCTTCCTTATTTTGTTCCCACTCAATGCTTTTGGCAAAACTGCAGAACATTCTACATTAGAACATCTAAAGATTTTTCTCGTTTGATTTGAACATTTATCAGTGGATTTTGAAAAAATTAGGACCTTCTTCGATTGTCACTTTCAAATGTTTCAACGAAATTTTATCAACTAAATCTTATTTTGATAATCAGAGCAACAGCAGCAGCAATAGTAATAGTAATAGTAATAATTCACGTCTCGCCTTTTCCATATCTTCTTCTACAAAATATTTCTTCTTCCATTAACTTGCCCATATGCATCCAGACTTCTTTTGATGGGATATATAAAGATTATTGTAATTCTAAAATAGATAAATTTATCACCAAAAAAAATCCACAGCTCGCAACCTATTTCTCATAAGATTTCTATCAAATTCTTTTGATAACAAGGAATAATTTTCAAACAAAGTAATTGGCATAGAGAAATCCTTAATAATTTAATTTTATTATAATTTTAAAGTAAATCACTATATGTAAGTAATATATGGCATACACATGTTTAATCGCAAATAAATTATACTTTTGTATTTAATCTATTTTATTCATTACTGATATTTTAGCTTCAGTAAAATTTAATTATTAGAATTATGATTATCTAATACTTTAATTTTCTCTCTTCATATGCCGATATTGGCAAAATTTCAATTATTCTTGTTATGCTAGTAAGTAGACTAGTCTAAATAGTTGTCCAATAATAGAATATTTACATGTCATTGCCGGTTATAGCACGTAGATATTTCTTTATAAACAGCTGCAAATAAATAAATATCTAAATTTCATTTATTATTTTCTTTGCTTATACTTTAAGTCACATTTATTAATTTATATTCTCTTTATGACTGATTAATATTTACCCAAATACAACAAATAATTAAACTTCTTCACGAAGGGACTTCTATATTGCTTCTTTTAATATATCCTACTCGGAATTATTATTCGATAATAAATTCTTCTCGTAATGTTTCTTTTAGTCAAATAAATAATATTACAAACAATTATGTTTATGTTTACGAGAAAGAAAAGAAAAATAAAACTACAAAATTATATTTTTTGTTACCCTATGAAGTTTACCAAGAAGAAAGGAAAATAGTAAACGCTAGGAAAAGAAAGTTAGAATGAAAGCGAGCTGGTTCATGTCTTCATTTACAAACAACAACAACAACGATAACAAAAATTTCTTAATTTTATATATTGTGGATTCAATAAAGATCCCGATTTGTTGAAACCTGCAATTATAACACTTGTCAACCACTATGCCGATATTAGACAAGATGGTGCACATTTATTTATCTGAATTAAAATCTTGTCTCCTCATGAGATAACAACAAAAGTAGTAGGCGGGTCTAAATTTCCTACAATACAAGATTAATTAAAAAATAATATTTAAATTTCTGAAGCAAAGGAGGTTGGAACAGTCATCTTAGAAGATTCGAAGATGCTTTTGTATTTGCATTGTTTTTTCAAAAATTTGCGCAGTTACGAAAGTGGTAAACTTCCTTTATATTATAAGTTTATAAAAGTCATTATTATTTTTGTTTTCCTTTTAAAATATATAGTAATCACAAAGGAGTGTTTTTAAATCATCTATGAAGATATACAATAAATTACTCCTCCACCACATTACACAGTTCGATTATGTAAAAAAATTCAACAATGGACTAAAATTTAGACCACCGTATTCCAAAACTAACATTTACACCATAACACTTAATGTTTAATAATACAATTTATTTAAAAATAGATGTATTAATCAATGTCAGTTTACACGGTTCAAATATAACAATCATATGGGGTTTTCGGGCATACAAGATGAACATATAGAATTAGGGCTTACAACTACACAGTGGTCACATAAAATAATAGCGGTAATAAGCCCTGATTTAGAACTTACAAAAAAAAAGGCCAAAATTTGGTGGTTGCTGTCGTGCCAGATGAAATTTATAAATTTTATACAAGAAATTATTATAATGTCTTTGGGACTTCGGTTCCGTTTCAATTTATACTAGAAACCCTACTCAAATCAGTCTGGATATATCAGCGCCCAATTCTGGCAGAAACACTCAACCAAAAATATAGTTGAATTAGTAATTGGAGGCATTGCAACTATCAGCTGCAAAACATATTTTTTGCAGACGTCACGATATTGAAAGTGATGGTGAAATTGATTTACAATTTTATTAAATATATTATTAATTTTTTAAACTTTTTAATTATTAGTTCAATCTTTCTTTTCTTTTGTCTACTTTGTATCTTATACAAATTTACAAATAAATAACAATCCTTTTTTAAATGTTTTTACCCATTGCTGTTTCCACCTTTCAATATGGATATGTTAACCGCCAATTCAATTTCTGATGGTAATCGATTTCTGTTAATTCATTTAATGGAACAACTTCCCTTGCAACTGACGAAATTAGTACCGATTGTAATTTTGAAAAGGTTCAATATTCCCATAGACCAAGAATTGGACAATGTAATTTGATACTCAAAGGTGGTGAATGCAGAGTTTTCAACAAAAACTTGTATAAATTATTTAAACAATTTCGTCAGGAAGCCAATATTAATGGTGATATTAAAGATATAACAAATGAAAAAAAATTGGAATTAGAATTATACAGAATTCTTGTTGGTATTAAAGGACTTTTTATAAACCATGTTCATTAATATATTGTTCTTTGTGCAATAGCACAAGAACTTAAACTTGGCTGAAATTTATTTGATAAGAATAAATATCCAAAATTATGGCAGGTAAAACAAATTCAAGGTACAAACAATGTTAGAAGAACAAAATCGATAAATTAGAAATATTACATATTTTAGGACATCCGTCATTATTAAATCTGAATAATGTCTCTCTTTTACAAAAAAAAGTAGCCTCTGAGTTTCATATTTATGTATTTCAAATTCTATATTAATATTGTTGTAAAGTTTTTTCCTGAAACGAAGCTTGAATCAGAAATTCGTGCTGCCTGAAAAGGATGGCAGGCAGTATGTGAAAGAATGTGTGCATCAAATTTATTAAGAGCAACTTCAAAAGCTGGGCGAAAATTTGTATTAAAGTTATTTGTGTTAAAATTGTGCAAAGTTATAGCTAAATAATTTCTGGACCAAAATCGGAAGAAACACGATAGCCTTTTAAAAATGGTATGATAGAATTTAATATATATGTGGTTGTTAAATTGCTTGTCAGTTCACCTCAATCCAGTTTTAGAGTTTAAGCAAATTAAACTTTTTTAAAAAACGAACTTTTGCTAATATTATTTTATCATTACTACTACGCATTTTAGCAATTCATATTTTTATCGTTATTATTATGAATTTCTTTTATTCAATGAATTTTTACATGTACTTCAAACATACTCTGATAATAAATCAACTATTTATGATGCATTCTTTAAATTGTAATCGAAAACATAATAGAAGTGTTTTGAGTGGGTATTTAAAAATATTAAATTGAATTTGTTGTGTTGCTATAATTTTTCCTGCTATCTTTAAAAAAAATATTTATTTTATGCATCAGATGAAGATATTGAAAAAAAGTCTTGGGAAAGATTAAGTTAATCAATATTTATAACTTTCTGAAGCAGGTCAACATACTAATATATTGAAATGGTAGAATCTGCGATATTATCTAATACTAGGGCTCTTGTGCAACATCTGTTTCAATGCAGGAAACCGAGTAACTTTTAAAAGATCAAGTTTAAATCCAAGCCACTAGGAAGTTGCTATTTATAAAAAAAACATGAATCTTGTTTCAGTCTTAGCTTATTAGCTTATAATTTTTTTACTTTAATTTCTTATTACATAATTTCATAATATAACTTGAATAATTCAAGTAAGTTGAATAAAATAAAGATTTCAAACAAAACAAATAAACTAAATGAAATGAATGAAATAAATTAAACAAATAAATGAGTGAAATAGATGAATATTCCAAAAAAGATAATATAAATAATCAAAGATCCGATTTTGTTGTTCATATTCCTAATACAAAAATAAAAATTCCCATAGATGCAGCAGATGAAATAAATAATTTGAACAAAACAAATGAAACAAATGATTTGAATAATTAAATGAAAAATTAGAAATTGACAGAATTATAAAAGTAATAAATCTATAATCATACATCTGTGCATGTTTAATAATACATCTATCTATTTTATCTAAATATTATACACTTTCATATATTGCATATTTTTCTTATTTTTCTTATTTAAGTGGTTGTTTAAAATATCAGTCATGCAGATAATGGAAATTCAGTTGAATATAATAAATCATTTTTTAATTTACCCTCCCTTAAATGGTTATTTAAACTATCAATTTGTGCTGAGAATGAAGGTTCTGTTGAATTTAATAAACCATCAATTTGTAATTCATTATTAGTTTGATCTACAATATCTTCAACAGTGTTAGTTATATCTACACTGTCCAAATCCTGCATAACTTCATGAATATGAGGACGGAGATCTGGCTTTCCTTGCCAACATGCTTTATAAAAAAATAATAATTTTAATATTGGTATAAACGGTTCATTGAAAAAATTATAGCCAGTGGTTATGTAATCACTTTCTCATTATTACCTGTATATATTTCTGCATATTTCTTTGGAGTTCCCTTGATTATTGTTTCACGTTCACCTAATATTATGGCAACTATTATACATTTGGATGTGATTGACTTATCTGCAAATGGAGCATGACCACTTGAAATTTCCCATAAAAGCACTCCAATACTATAAATATCTGATTTTTCATTGCGACTATAATTTTCAGCATCATTTAAATATTGTGGATCTGAGTATTTTATTGTGCCTATTCCTTTAGAAGCTTCTATTGAAGGACCCAATAAGGATTTTGAGATTCCAAAATCACAAATTTTAATATTTCCATTATGAATGAGAATATTTTTAGAATGCTATTTAAAATATTAATGTTGCTTGTTAATATTAAAATGTAAGAATAATTAAAGATAAATGAGTAATGTTTATACATACCAGATCTCTATGTACTATTTTATTCTCATGCAAATGTCTTACAGCACTTACAATTTGTTTTGCGAACTTTAATTTAGTACCCCAATCCATTATATTGAAATTTGCTTTTAAATAATTGCATAAATTGCCATTATTTGCATACTCTAATACAAACATGTAATTTTTTTTATGTTTTTCTTTAATGATATGTAAAAAATTAAATTAATAAAGTATAATAAATAAATATATTGTAAACCAATAATAATTTAATAATAAAAAGTCAACACACTTTCTTTTGTTATGCCATAGAATCTTAATATATTACTGTGAAGTTCTACTTTATGATGTTGTTTTGCCTTTAAAAAAATCAATTGCAAATATTTTTGTTAATATATTGTATAATTTAGGAAATTATTATTCGCACCCCACGTGACTAAAAAAAGATGAACCAATAAAATCATCACATTTTAAGCGATTTGATCAAGCCATTCATTTGTCACATTACCACCTTAGTCACGTGGGGTGCGAATAACAATTCCCTAAATTTATCAGATAAAAAAAAAGATTTACCTCATTAATAAGTTGTTCAAAAGTATATTTTTGGTCAATATTAATGGACTTTAATGCCACAAGTCCATGATGATGTTTTGAAGATGCACGAGAAATTGTTCCAAATGATCCATCATCAATAAATTCAATATTTTGAAAAGAATTATAATTATGGAATAAAATATGTTCCCTCTTAATTTGATTTTTAAACCTTTTTTCCTCCTCTGAAATAGATTCTGCATTTATTCTTAATGGCAATTTTAATGATTTTAATTGCAATCTTAATGATTTTAATAGTGATTTGAAGTTTATTGTTCTTTTTGTTTTTTTTTCTCTACTTTGCCTTATCATTTGAACAACTGTATAAAATGGTCTTTCTATATTTATGGACGTTTTTGCCGAACTTTCAAAAAATTCACAGCCAAGTCTCTTTGCCATATTCATTCCTTCTTCCTTTGATATCTCCTGTTCTACATGCTCACCACATTTATTTCCTACAAGTATAAGTGGAATTTTCTTAGAGCCTTTTATTCTTACTATTTGATCTCTAAGCCTTTCTACTTGTTCAAATGTTGAATGTGATGATATAGAATACACTAGAAGAAATCCTTCTCCATCTCTATATATTTATTAGCATTATTATGTATAATTTTAAGTCAATGCTTAATTCTAACAATTATCATTAGAAACTTTAAATTTCTTTCTACCTGATCCACTGATCACAAAGTGGTGTGTGTTCCTCTTTTATTAAAAAAAAAAGATAATTATAATTATAGATAAATATTTTTATTGTTCTATTTTATTATAAACAAGCAACAAAGTATCACCTTGTCCTGCAGCCTCTAGCACATCTAGTACACAGAGTTGATCATCAATTACTACTTGTTTTTTATATGAAACTACAGTTGTTGAGTCACTGGTCTAAATAATAAAATGAAGATATTGATAGGTAGAAAGAGTCACTGTATTCAAAATCAAATAAAGATAATAATTATTTTAGTTTTAATGTGCTGAAATTGGAAATTGGGATATCTATTCTCAAAAAAGTAATGCTATTTCCTTTATAGGTAAGATATTCACGATTTATCTTCAAAATGTTTCAGCACATTTTAATATGTTGAAAAATACATACCAACAAAATAATTTAAAATCAATAAAAAATAATAACAAAGAGATAAGTATCATTTAAAAATTCACCAACAATATACCATAGCTTATTCCATACCTGAATTGTGAAAGCAGTCTAATTAAATAAAAGATAAACAGATTTATTATTTTAGATAAAAACAATGCTTTTTAAAAAACATTTGTTACCTTTCCAACATTAATATCTCCAAGAACAACAAGCTTATATGACATCTTCGGCTTAGAAAAACTTTAATTAATTTCCAAAAAAAAAGGAAAAGAGACAAACAAAGCAAAAACATGCATCATGTAAAAAGGTAAATTAGTCCATGAGAAATCAATATTAAATAGCATAGAGACTTTATATTACATACCACAAAAATGGAAAGGACGTACCTTTTCTTTGATAGTGCGAGATAGTCTTTTGTTTAATACCGATATTTTTACGTTTATGGCCGAATTCGAACTAACCTTCGAGTTACACTCTCGATTAGTTTCAAGCTTTTATATCCAATGTCCGTCAACTAAGTTATTTATTAGACAATTCTTTGCTTACTGCTCTTTCTTGTACCTAAAAAGCTTCGGCGATCTGTAAGCACACTTTATGGTACGATTTACAATAAATAATGTGACGATAAAGGTTTTCTAAAGTTCCTGTTTTACTTTTCTTTTACTTTTCTTTAGCCGCTTAAAAGCTTAGTTGCTTTTCTTTCAACAGCCGTACGTTTACAACTAGTCGATCTTTCTTCTCTCGAAAAAATAAACGCTAGTAAGGTTTTCGCTTAGTAAAGAAGCAAAGGTTTGTTTTGAGATTTTGTCAAGTGTAAACGTTGTCGTTACGTTTTTAAAAGAGTTTAAAGGATTAATAATTCTTTAAAAATTTTTTTTATCGGTGTTAAGGATCACCTTAACCAAATTCGTGATCACGTGTTGTTAAATAATTATTTGGTGAGAAATAAAAACAACTTAATTTTCAAAAAAAGCTGAGTATATTTATATTTAATCTTTCTAAATTTTTTTATTCGAAAATGTTCTATCACCATTATTAATATCCTCGGAAATATTCTATCGCCATATTAATATTAATACATGTTGATCATCACAAACATACACATCTAAACTCGATAAGTCGGACGCAGCAATCAATTGTTTAAAG